CTTATATCGCTTCGCAATAGATGGAGATTGCGAGCAACACCGCACTGATCAAGTACTTAATAATTCGCGCATTATTGGTATCAGCGAAAATAACATTATAAAATTCTCGTAATTAGAAAAATCTTTTAAATAGAAAATATAGTATTTTCGTTATTTTGGAAACATTGCTGCAATATTGCTATCGAAAGTTTGCAATTTTATATCCCTGCAATGTCTCTGCAAGATCGCAACGTTTCTGCAATGTAACTGACTAACTGCAACCATCTGTATGGACTAGTGTATGTACATCGCAGACAGACAGGAGTGCCTGGACATTTATATAATTATAGAATACACAATTATAGAAATGTCCAGGCATTCTTGCCTGCCTGTTCACATGCGACTCGCGCGCGCGCCGCACGCCGGTTATATCGGCTGATTGGCGTAACACCGCGGGTATTACCCGCGATCAGAGGCGGTCGGAGCGTAGGCTCCTCTCGGATCAGCTGACTGTCAAGGTCCGTTCACGAACGGAGCGCTCTGTAGGGAATCCGGGCGGCTCGCTCGCGCGAGAGGAATTCACACACGCGAATTACCCGTGAAATTCGCTCGCTCCCCCGTACGTCGTAAAACTGAGAAATCCCTGTCCCCGCGTCCTTGAACTGGTCCGTTAAGGAGAGGAGAGAAAAACGCGAGGTATAACGCTCGAGAGCGTTACATTTCGCCGGCGATTGAGGGGGGGGGGGGAGAATTCTTGACGCCGGCATTTATTTTATCCGGCCGATAAGCCGGTTAATGGCACGCTACGTGTACGCACGCACGCACCGACCAGCCGGCACTCACCGGTGTAAAATTAGTTTATTGACGATGGAAAATCTCGCACGCTCGCAAAAGTGCAGGCAAGCATGAATTTCCTGTGTACAAATATTAGCCTTTTGTCTTCTCTGAACGTCATATATCCCGGCGATTTATCTTTATTCTCCACGCCAGAAATTTCTCCGTTGATTTTGCGATATCCTTAGGATATCAAACGGGCAACTATTAAATGCAAAGAAAAAGGCAGATGCGCATCTTTCCATCTTTTCCCCTGAAAAAGAAAAAAAAACTCGGCGAAACTCGCGCATCGCGAATGCAACGGCAGCAAACGGTTGTTATTTACATATTTTCCAACCCTTTCCGTCACCCACCTACAAGTGGCGGCGGCGGCGGCGGCACGAAGCCGAGAGGCGCGAGGAGTCGGTGATGTGTGCGCGAAGTTCCCTCCACAGGTCCGTGACGTGCGGCGCGCCGGTGACGCGCGATTCGCCGGTTGCGGAAGCAGGGCCGGCGCGTGACGCGGGCGCCGCGCGGCACATCGGGGGCGACGAAAATTTCTAAATCGATCCCGTTAAGCGTTTTTCACGCCCGACGGCCTCGGCCGTCGGTTCTCGCGAGAACTGTTTCGGGCGCGCTGTTAAGCCCGTATCAGACTACAGATTCAGATTAGATTGAGATTCGACCAATCACAGTAAAGTTCGCTAAACTTGAGATTAATAAACTTTACTGTGACTAGTCGAATTTCAATCTAATCTCAATCCGTGGTTTGACACAGGCTTCGAAAGCACGCGCTTCTCATGTGCACCTTCTGCACCTTTTAGATCTCCCCCTTCTCTCTAGGTGCGTTCACGCCTATTGACGCTGAAAGCGTCTTCTGTCTCCCTTCGACGCATAACAAGCAACGGTGATAGACTGACGCTTTCAGCGCTAATTACGCGAGCGCATCTCGTCCTTTTCCTGCTCGTCCGACGGTGTCCGGAGAGTCGGCCGGTTCGATCTTGAGTGTAGAAGGTGCAGAGCGAGCGGCGGAAAAGAACAGAAGTAACACGCTGGGACTAGTCACTTTAATACCCGTTCACGCGAGTAATTTATTTTCATTGTCGACCGAGATACGCCTGTAAGAATCGGTTCTCTGTAAGAGCGCACAATTCTTAATCGATCGATTACTCCCGTTACGTCGCAGTCACGATAACGTATCGCGAAATCGACGTCCGCCCCGTAAGGGGAGAATTGATGGACGTCGACCCGGTTCCGCGTAGCCGGCGCGCGACACGTCGCGCCGGCGCGGCACGTCCCTGAACGAGCCGAAGTTGCCGCCGCCGCCGCCGTTCGTCCCCACCACCGCGGCCATTCGCCGCACACTCAACAGATCGAGGTGTGGCCATCGAGGGCAGCCATTTTCTTGACTTTCTGTCGCTTAAGATTTCAGGTAAATACGCAAATATATCCTAAGTTAACGCCGGCCGGAGTGGTGCGGGGGTGCGTGGTGTGCCGTGCGTGCGGGCGTCGCGAGCGTGTCCGGGCGCGTTGGAGATCCCGTCGGGACGTCGGGGCCGGGTACGGTGCTAAAAGAGGGAAAAAAGAAGGAGCCTCCTCCTCCTCCGTCAATTGAGTGAGGGAGAGAGAGAGCGAGAGAGAGAGAGAGAGAGAGAGAACGGGTTGCGCGAGGAGGCCTCGAGGGAGTGCCATGCGTCGCGATTCTCGTCCGTTCGGTATCACCGCGCGGCGAGGCGCGCTCTGACACGGCGGCTCGACTCGGTCCGACTCGACTCCGCGCTCGCTTCGTGCCCGCGTCGTTCATGCGCGTCGCTCGTGCTTAGTCCACGTCCACGTCGTCATCGTTATCTTCGTCGCCGCCGTCACCGCCGCCGCCACCGCCGCTGTCGCTGTCGCCGTCGCCGTCGCCGTCGCCGTCGCGGAGCTAAGCAGCAATCCGTGCGACGGGCCTCTTGGTCTCTTGGAATGCTCTCGGGCTCTACTTGACACGCTACGTGGCCGTTTAGTCCAGTAAGTAAACGCCTCTCTCTCTTTCTCTCTCTCTGTCTCTTTCTTTCTCTCTCTCTGTCTTTCTCTTTCTCTTACTACTGTCGCGACGACTGCTCCGCGTATCCCCCTGTTACGCCATACCACGCATTCCCGTGCCGTCGCTTCCGCAGCCCCTTTTCCTGCCCGCTGCGTGATCGACGAGGAGGAAGAAGTCGTGCGAGCGCGGTCAACGAGGAGCGGACACCTCGTGCTTTCCTCGCCCCTGTCTCGGTCCTCCTCCCTCCTCCCGCGCCTCGCCCCTTTCCCACGTAATCGCGGCTGATCTACAGTCTCGGCCGATGTCGTCCTCGTCTCCGTGACAGCGCGCTCGATCGTGCCCCGGGTGTGTCGGCCCGACGACGTTTCCTGCTCACGCCGCTCCGACCGAATAAATTCTGAGCGCGCGTACCTTCGGCGTGAAGCCCGTATCAGACTACAGACTCCCGACTCTGACTCGACTACTGACTCGGACTCCCGACTATGATTCAACCAGTTAGAGTTTATTCCCGAGTTGGCAGTCGGGGTCGGCCGGTGCTTTGCTGTGATTGGTTGAATGATAGTCGGGAGCCCGAGTCAGAGTAGTCGAGTCAGAGTCGGGAGTCCGTAGTCTGATACGGGCTTTACGCGATCGCCGAGGGGACTCCCTTCGACGAGGGAGCCTCGCGCTCCTTTCGGTCTCGCGGTTCTCGCGTCGCGCACTCCGCTTTCCGCCCGCGTGCGGAAGGATCTCCGGAGAGGATTTTGCGTATCGACCCGATCTTGCGAGAAATAGGAAGAGAGAGAAAGAGAGAGAGAGAGAGAGAGAGAGAGAGAGAGAGAGAGAGAGAGAGAGAGAGAGAGAGAGAGAGAGAGAGAGAGAGAGAGA